GGTCTGTTATGTCAAGTGCCATACCAGGCTTGCCCATGCTGTTGTTTATTTGAAACCCTTGTTACCACAATTTGACTTACATATTATCATCCCCATTTTACAGGCAGGTAGTTTAAGGTATATATAGAGAGGTCACTCAACCTGGTCAGTATCCAAGCCAAAACTAGGAAATTGGGGCTCTGTGATCCCAAGAAGCACCTCATCCCTGTGTCCTACACACTGTCTGGAAACTCGAAACTCTTGAGTCATAACTGGGCCTGGGTCACAGAGGCTGGAAACTGACTGGAGGTTGAGGGCAAGCAGGAGTGGGGGCCCTAGGTTGCTTTCCCACACCCTGAAACAGTATCCACGAATCTTGGTTCCTCTGACAGACACACAACCACCTCAGGCCCTCTGACAGAGAAAACACATTCACCTCTGTCTCCTGGACACAGACACATGCACCTCAGTCCCTCTGTCAGACACACATGTACCTCAGGCTCAGAATTCCTGGAACAGCCGAGATCGGCCCTCAGAACAACCATTGATTCAGAAAAGACTTCAGTGATGTTCTTTTCTGTAGAATCCAGGCAGTGTGGACAGGAATCCTGCCATCCAGCACCCTAGATAGAAAAGCCACAGCCTCGCACAGAGGCGCCCCTTCCCAGCTCTTCTTTTCTGGCTTCTCTGAGGTGAGAGGGGTTCTCAGTGCAAGGCTCCTTGTAGGCCAACCAGGCCACTTGGTTCCAGCTTTATTGCCACACAGGTTCTGGTGTTATTTCCACCTATGATTACAGTCACAATGTTACTCTGATAGGACAGAAAGAAGTGATTTACCATAATATTAACTTAACTTTTATTATGAAATTCTAAAATAAGTACAAAAGCAGAAAAGCACAGTGAATCTGGTATGCCCATTATCACAGGCCTTTAAGTGATAAAATAGAACATACGGTTCCCTGTGGTAGAAAAACTTCTGTAGATCCTATAATGATTTTGTGAATGCCATAATTATTTTGGTTTTTGGTTTTTTGAAACAAGGTCTTACTATGTAACCCAGGCTGGCCTCAAACTCTCAGCAGTCCTCCTGCCTCAGCCTCCAGAGTGCTAGGGGTATGCTGCCACACCCAGCTTGTGAATACCGTAATTATATTATATTGTAACTTTGTGTCAAATATAGACATGCCTGTTAGGTACTAGGAACTGAATCCAGGGCTTTGTGCTTGCCACTGAGCAGTATCTACAGCACTTTTTTTTTTTTTTAAAGTATTATTTGTTCATTTAGTGGTACTGGGGATTGAACTCAGGACCTTTGTACTGAGCTAATCCTCAGCTCTTTTTATATTTTAAACAGGGTCTCACTAAGTCTCTAAATTGACCAGGCTGAGGCCATGGATGTAGCTCAGCAGCGCAGCGCCTGCCTGGCAAGCATAATGCCCTGAGTTTGATTCTCTGTATCTAAATAAATAAGCAAATTGCCCAAGCTGGGTTCCAACTTGCAACTCTCTTGCCTCAGCCTCCCAGAGTGCTCAGGATTCCAGGTGTGCACCACCATACCAGGCTCATCTCTGTACCTTTTTTATTTTTTATTTTGAGACAACCAAGTTGCACAGACTGGGGTTGAAGTTTCAAGTCCTCCTGAGTGGCTGGGGTAGTTTTGTTTTTGTTTTTGTTTTTTTGGTTTTGTAGTGTAAATGGAACCTCCATAGACAGTAGGGACTGACATCCCCCAGCCTGCGGCAGGCAATCAGTGAGCCCCGGGTGCCTAAGAGTTTCCTGCCCAGGACTGCTGCTGGCCGGGCATGGCTGCCTCTCAGAGCCCAGAGAAAGTTTTCCAGGTCTATAGCAGTTTGCTTTTGACCTTTCACCCCAGGTGGTGAGGTACCTGGCTCTGGGTCCGAGTAGGGGGCTTCCCTCTCTGGCTCTGCAGGAACTTAAGGAACACCACTTACAGGGCCACTGCTGGGCCCTGGGAGGGCAAGATTTGGGAGCCTGATCTTGGCCGGGTCCCTGTCTTCCTGCAGAACTTCCAGTTCACCGAGAGGAGGAGGAAAGACCTGAAGGGAGCAATTAAGTGCCCCAGTGGCGCCTGCACTGGGGTTCTGGCCATTGTTTGCTTCAGGGGCAGCCCTGTTAGGGCCCCGAGTCAAGGAGGCCTGTGCCTGGGGCAGGGCAGCCCCAGGTCCCCCAGGGCAGGGCCTCCGCGTCCCATTCTTTCAGGGGTTCCCACAGTGTTCAAGGCCTGGCTCTGCTCACAAAGAGTTTCAATGCGGCTTTTGACTGAACCTTTCCCCTTTGTATCTGTCTCTGAGGCACTCAGCATCTCTGTCTCTCAGGGTCTCTGGCTCTCTCTTGTTTCCCAACATCCTTCCCGGACCCCTGGGGAGCAGAACTGGGGGGGCTGAGCAGTGGGAACGGGACGGCGTCCTGTTCTCACCAAGGACAATAAGGGCCGGAAAGGGCGGGAGCCAAGGCCTGGCGCGGCCTCCCCTTCTGCCTGCCCTGGGTGCCCCAAAGCCCGGCCTGACCTGCGAGCTCGTCCGAAGCCAGGCGGCCCCTGCCTTTGCCCGTTCTGGGGAGCCTGGTGCCCTCGGCTCACCTTCGCACTACCCAATTGAGGGCGGCGTCACCCTGTCACCCTCTGCCCTGCGCCAGCCCCGCCCCCACCATTTACTCGGGTTTCTGGAGCTGCCGGCGGCGTCGCGGCCGCGTGCGACGGAGCCAGAGGAAACATCTGGCTTCCCTCTGTGTTCTGGGGCAGTCGCCCTCTATCCCGGAGTCTCTAGCTGGGGGGAAGCAGGGCACCGGGAGCCCAGGGACCAACTGCCCTACCCACCCTCGGTCCACGCACCCCTCACTAATAATGGGGTTAACTGGCGGGTCAGGTGCAGCAGCCTGCAATACGGAGCACAGAGACCGGCGGGAGGACAGCTGCACCCGGCGCCACCCGGCCTCATAAACGCACCCTTTCCCGAGGAAGGGCTCATTATTCCCGGGCCCCAGAACGGCGGCACTGCCCCATCCTGCTCTCCGGTCCTCCCTCCCTCTCCTGCCCAGACAGCAACGCCTGTGCGAGGCCAGGGGCCCTCGAGGTGGCCTTTTTCTGCCCCTCCCCTGGGCTGGCCCAGGCCCTCAGCCCTCGGGCCTCCTCCAGGTTAGGAGAAAGTCCACGTTGGGCAGTGAGAGTCAGCCCGGCCCCCGCCACGGGCAACCTCCCCACCCACAGGGACCCCCACTCGGGACCACCGTCCACCTGCCGTCCACCTGCAGCAGCAGCCTCGCGGCCCGCAGTCTCCGGAGGCTCTGCCCTCCGCCACCGTGCCTCCGCCCCGGCACCTCCCGCCCCGGCCCACAGCACCCTCCTCCGGGTCCTCAGCGTCCCCGCGAGGGAAGGCGGCTTCTCTCCCGAAGACGTGGGCTCACATCGCCCTCTGGAGGCGCCTGAGGTGAACTGCCTAGCGCTCCCTCCTTGGCCAGGGCCGCAGGGCGAATTCGAGTGGAACAAACAAACGGTACAGCGGTCTCTAATCCATGACCAGAGTGCCTCTGACTTCCTTCTCTATCTTCTCCGGGTCCTCTCCCCTAACTCCGCTGCTCCCTTGTACCAGATTGTGTTCTGGAAGGGTAGAAGGGCAGGGTTTTCAACCAACCCACCAGTCTAGTGCCTACTATCAGGCACTGTGGAGAATGCAAAGCTGAGCAAGACAGGAGAGGCAGTGTCCAGCGCCCCAGAGGACAGAGCAGTCAGGACAGGACCTGACAGCCGCCCACTTCACTTCCACCTAGGCTGGCGCAGAGGTTAGTACCCTTGCTCCTGTCGTTTATACACTTTGCTAAAATGTAGGACGTTCTTAGTGTGCTGCCTGGGAGGCTGGGGGGTGGCAGCACATGCCTGTAACCCCAGCACCTGGAACGCTGGGGCAGTAAAGCAGAACTTAAAAATAAAAATCAATTTTTCCTTTAAAAAACAGTCTGGCTCCTTGTAGCTTTCCCGTCTCCCCGTGGAGCTGTTGAGCTATAGAAAAGGTAAACAGCCAGATTCTCACAGGAAGCTGCCTTCCCTTCCTTCAAGGTTGACCGCTGCCCAGCCAGTACTGATAGGGCAGACTGACATTTGTTAGGAGCCTTTGTGACCTTTAAGGGGCCATATGCCCTCAAAGGTAGATGAGACTGACAACTGTGTCCTGTGAAAGAAGTTCATGATCTGTTCTCACTAGATTCACAAAAGCAAAACTGTCATCGTGTGAGGCGTGACTAGCCTGCTTTTTGCTTCTGTAACCTTGCTTGCTCACCCCCCTTCATGTCACTAGAGACCCCCCCCCTTTAGAAAATGTCTCTTTTTAGACAGAAAGTCCGAGTCAAGGTGCACCAATAAATCCTCCTGTTCCTATTTGGTCTCTGGTCCTTTTTAGAATTGTCCAACAGCAGGAGGACCCCATGAGTTCCAGGTCAGCCTGGGCTACATAATGAGTTCAAGGCCAGCCTACACTACAAAGCGAGACTGTGTCCTAAGAAACAAGCAAACAAGCAAAAAATTCATGTGTTGGCCGAGACAGAGGCAGAAATGAAGGTACCTGAACAAAGAGGCCAGGACAGTGATGATCCACGGGGGAGTCGGTGAACACACACACGTTCACACTGGAGCAGAACATGCGGGTCCAAGGGGCTAAACAAAGCCTCGAATGGCACCCCATGGCACAGCACAGGGCTGACGGGCCTCTCCTCTTGCTCCTTTGTTCCAAGATCGCTAGAGCGGAATCCCTGACCCAAAGGTCAAGACTGCAGAGCATTCATACACTTCTCTTCCAAGATAAGATTCTCACACAAGTATATCCCACTCCAGATCCTGGCACAGTGCTTGGCACTGACAGCACTCAATAACTATTTGGTAAAATGAACCTTAGAGGAAGCAAAGTCTCACCATCCCCAAGGTCTGAGAATGGTAGGTGCCCATCCGTTTAAACATTCTGCATACCAAGCAGGCATTCACAGATGAGAAGCACCACATATCACAGCTCACAGAAGTACAAAGAATCGACTTTATTGGACATCCAGAGTTAGTTCCTTTTCTTGCCCTTGCCCGTGACCTTGGCTGGTGTGAGGACTGGAGCTGTTGCCTGGTACAGAGTAGAGGAGATCTTGTTGATGTAGTACAGACCAACCATGGAGAAGATGAAGCTGCAGGGTGAAGACAGAAAGATCAGTGTCAGTGGGTCAGTGGGTGCTGCCAGCCTACAGCCAGGACAGACACTAGCTTCATGGGAAGAATCCCCAGAAAAACGGTTCGGGATAACAGGGAAGACAAAGGGGAGAGAACAGAAGCAGAGGTACAGGGCAGGGGGGGCTGGCACTATTACAGTAGGGTCCGCTGCCCGAAGACCAGGTGATGTGATGCAACCCTTAGCCAGTTGTCGGGCACATACCAGGTGGTTACGCAGACTCGGTGGATGAGGCCAGATGCAAAGAGAGCCAACAGAAGGCACAGGAGAACTGGGGAGGCAAGAAGGGGTAGGAACAGTCAGGTGCTGGTCTGAAACAAGAAACCAGGCACTAGTACACAGAGCCCGGGAGTAAGCTGGGGCCCTCAGAATTCTTGGGGAGGTGAACTGGACGGGTATGGCACAACAGCAGGAAGACGTTAGGTGGCCTAGATAAGGCTCAGGGCACGGCAGTAGAAGAGGCATGCTTTTTACCAACTCTGCCCCAAATCTCACTAGCGTCCCATAAAAAGAAAAAAAAGAAAAGGCAATACAGACCCTGAGGAACAAGACATATTCCCATCTAGGAAAGAGGGCCTTTCTAACAGAAGCCAGTGAGAACGGACTTGGTGAGTTGCTGACCCATGACAGTGATGGAAGTTATGCTGGGCGTCTGGATATATCCATTTACCGAGGCAAGAAAAGCTATTAGCACATCTGGAAGAGGGTTACCTCATAATAAGCCAGGCGTGCTGGCACATGTCTGTAACCCCAGCACTCAGGAGGCTGAATGAGGCAGGACACCAGCCTGAACTAAATAACAAGACCCTGTCTCAAAAAAATAAAATTAAATAAATAAATAAATCATCTGGTGATGATGATAAGGTAGAAGAGCAGAAAAGGCAAAGAGGGACCTGAGTTTTGCCTCCCAACAAGTTTCTTCCAGAAATAAATGATGCCAGACATAGTAGCACATACCTATAATCCCAGCAATTGGGAGACAGGCAGGAGGACTGCCTCAGTTTGGGGCCAGCCTGGGCTACATTGTTCAAGGACAGCCTGAACTACACAGTGAGACCTTGTATCAAAAAACAAAATGCAAATGTTTAAGATTCACATAGAAACAAAATCTACAGAGGTCTGGGGACTGCTGGATGGAGAGGGCTCTGGAAGTTTACAGTGGGGTTGGGTGGAGAGGGCCAGATCTAGAAGAGGTCAAGGGAACAAGGGCAGAATGACAGATCTTGGTTTCACCATGGGAAGGTTTCATAGGCGAGGGCATCTGCTGTCAATTTTTTGTTTGTTTTGTTTTTTGAGACAGGGTCTTACTATGTAGTTGAGACACTCCTGGAACTCACTATGCAGCACAGGCTGGTCTCAAACTCAGGGATCCTCCTTCCTCAGCCTCCTGAGTGCTGGGATTACAGGCGTCCACCACCACGCTCGGCTGTCAGTTTTCTTTTCTTTTTCTTTTTCTTTTTTTTTTTTTTTTTTTTTTTTTTGGTACTGGGGATCGAACTCAGGACCTTGCTCTTGCGAGGCTGGCAGCAGAGCTAAATTCCCGGCCCCGCTCTGTCAATTTTTGAGCATGTGACATTCCTTAGGTGATCTGGCCTCGGTGCCTAATTTGCTTTATAAACTTAATTCTCCATAAGTAATTAAATCATCAGTTCCCAATTATTCAAGTAATTAAAGATTATTCCAAACAGAAAATACTCTAACAATTATTATAATTTGGTCAGGGTTCCTGCTGCCATATAAACTTGTCGTATCTAATATTTATGCTCTACACAATGCATTCAAATAAACACAATTCACTAACATTAGATCAGTTTCTACCGAAACCCTTCACTTAACTTGGCCCTGCTGTTTTTGGGGTACAAACAAAGAACAGCTCCTGAAGGTAGGCACCAAACATCAGTCCAAATTTGCTTGTTCTCCAGAAACTTTCCCTGGTAGCTGGCCAGAAGACAGCAGGGTTTCCTGCTCTAAAAACCTTCTCTTACACCTCCAGGGCCAGGAGCTAGATAAGATGCTGGATCCAAAAGCATCATCTGTCTTCAGACTGTTGTGGTAAACATGCTTCTCCTCAGCAACTTTTATATTTTTGAGACAGGGTCTCACTATGTGTCTTGGGCTGGCTTTGAACTCACTATGGAGTCCAGGCTGGCCTCGAACTCATGATGATCCTCCTGCCTCAGCCTCCTAAGTACTGAGATTACAGGCATGCACTACCACACCCTCTTCCTTAGCAATTTTTAACCATCTAAGCACCCGGAAATCCCATACTGTGTCACATTTGGGAGAGGTTAGAGAGAAGGTTCAAAGAGTCAACCACAATTTTCACTTACTCTCTGGGAAGATCTTTGCTTGGAATCCTTTGCCAAAGACCAGGTTCTCCAGATTATTGAAGGCCTGGGCAGCAGAATTAAGGAGCAGGGCATGCAAGGGCGGCGGGCTGTGGGGGAGAGCGCTAGCCTACGTGGCCCTTCCTCCCTTCCTGCACTCCTCCCCCTCCAGGCACAGGGAGGATACAGTGAGAGAGAACACGAAGAGGCCGGAGCCCAGCAGGCCCCCCTGAATGGTGAGCCACTCGGTGGAGGCCAGCTGGCGGCTGTACATCTGCATCCCGGCGAAGAGCAGCAGGGACAGGAGGGAGGACAGCGCCAGCGAGGTGCCAGTGCCCACCACTGGCAGGCATGACAAGGGATGGGTCAGCCTCAGGCCTCCCTCGAGGTCCCAGAGCTCGGCAGGCCGACCACTTCCAAACCCTCCTGCGTCCTCAGCCCCAGCTCCGCACGGCCCGCGGGGACCCCGGGAATCCCCAGACCCGGACCTCCGATCTCTCCCATCCCGTGGACATGCCCGCTCCCTGAATCCCAGGACACGTCAGCCTTGCTGGGGGAGACGGGAAAGCTGGCCCGCCCCCACCCCGACCCCAGACAGCCCGGCCCGGGGTCCAGCGGGTCCCGTTACCCATCATGCCCCGCCAGTGGGTCCAATCCGTG